AAAATTATTATAAATAATTTTAATTATTAAATAAAATTGCAGGCAAATTTGCCTGCAAAACGCTTGAAGGGATAATAATAACTATAATAAAGAAAATAAAATATTATGCAATAGATTATGTAATATTTTTTATAAATATATAAAGCTATATCAAAAAATATTTACAAATGCAGATTTAACAGAATTAGAGGTAAATATAATTTATTATTAATCAATTAAATTAATTAGATAATAACTTTATTTTTTATTTTTTATTATATATTATTAGACATTAATAATAAATTTGTAGCTCTATTTCTTAAATAAATATAAGATACTAAAGCTTTATGTATTATGATATCATGTAATTCTATTAATTAGACTCTATGATTTAATGAATTGAATGTCTATAGAAATATATAAAACTTTATATAAATTTAATGTCAAAAATTCATATTATATAACAAATAAAAAATTATGTTTTTCAAATGTTATATACAATATACTATATAATCTGTTATTTTTACAATATATATTCAAATAATATGTTTTAAATTTAATATTAAAATATTAGGTATAATATTAATATTTAACCAAAAAGCAAAAATCAGTAAATCAAAAAGATTAAGTAATTTTTAAAACCTTTTATAGAAATGTAAATTTACTGGAATTGATATAAAATATTCTCAAATAGAACAAAATAGTGAAATTCATCATTTGCATAAAGAAGTTTTTAATAATATTTTAACAGGTTTTAAAGAATTTGTTATAGAAAATAATATAATTACAATAATGAGTTTGAATATTTTAAAATATATTTAGAAATTTCTATGGAAGTGAATGATTTAGTAATATAACAATATTTTTTGAAAATGCTACTTGGTATAAAAAGGTAATGTATTATTTTTTATTAATAATTTAATGATTTTTTAAATGATTATATAACATTATTAATTTAATTTTTAGGTACTTTTATTATTGAAATTTTTTGCAAAAAATGGCGAAGATCCAATAAATCTCATTTTATTATGATGGTATAGTGAATGGCCACTTAATGATAATAAAAAATATACAGATAAAAGATCAGAATTATATGTAATTTCCAAGGTTATAGTTAACTAACCAGTATATATGTGTTTAATCAGTAGATATATAAGTTCATATAATACCAAGAAATGATTGTACAAATGAATATTTAGTTAATAAATATATTTTCTATTAATAAAAATAAAATATTTTCATTTATTATTAAAATCATCAATTATCTTGATGATTAATTTTCACTATCATCGATAATCACTAAACTATCTTGATGATTATTTTCATTAATTTTATAAAATGTTTAATCATATATCAAAGATAATGTTCGGAAGTTATCTCAATATGTTAATAATCAAATTTTTTAATATGATAATTTATGATAATTTGTGATAAAGTGATAATTATTAATGTTTATCCATCTGAATATTTTGCTGATGTATTTAAATAATGCAGACAAATATCAATTAAATTATATGGAAGGTTTGAGACCATACGACAAAAATGATAAAGAAATAGCAAAATGCTTTAAAAATATTTTTATAAACGTATCTTAAGATAACGCAAAGTGTAGAAGACGACTATCCAAAAGTCTTGCATCTTTGATGGTCAAAGTTTACAACTTCAAATACATTTGCAATTTATGTATTTTATTTATTATTATCTGTATTATTTACTTATATTTTGACTAAAGATAATTCTAAACTTAGGAGGGTGAAGTAGACAATGTCAATCTACCGCATGATTTTACAGAGATAGTGGAGTTCGTATTTTTTTTTATGAATGTATTATAAAGTAGGCTGTAAGTATTCTTTTTATTACAATACATAATTCTACATTAATATATGAATATTAGATTACGAATTTAGTTGCTAGTTTGGAAAATCAAAGAAGCTTTGAGAAATCAAGAGTGCAAAAAAGGACATCAAGGCTTTCTTACGTTAATACACTGAAAGTAGTGGACACTCTATAGCTTGAAGATGGATCATTATTTGTGAATAACAAAATGAATGAATCCATATGTAATAATGTTAGCTTTTTGTTGCTGCAATAAATAATTATTATTTGGTGCTTGAGGATAAAGCAGTTAATAAAATGAATTTTAGCTATTTTTTTTGAAAAAATCGCGATATTTTGAGGCTGAAAACAACTCAAGATTTGGTAATAGGTTTTCGCTAATTTCAATCTTTCTTGATTCACATTTTCGGGAAAATAATTACAAAAGAAGAGAATGAGTGAGTTAGAAACGTTTATCTGATGTTTAAATATTTATGACAAGTTATTTAGGAGGTCTTAATCAGGAACGTAAATTGATTTCAGAAATTAATGATTTATTAAAGCAACTTACTATTTCATTACGGGGTTCAACATAATTATAGTAAATCTCATTATGGTTCGTTTATAAAAAAGTAATAAAAATTATCATTAATTATTAAAGATGTAATTTGGATGAGAAATAATTGAACGAAAACAAAAGTTTATTATATACTAATTTTAGTCTTTATTGGCGTCATGCTTGCAGTCCGAAAAAAAAGTTTTCAATTTATGGTGTTCAATACCAATGTTACAATTTATTACTTACCTGATCTGTCAAACAAACGGTTGAATAAAATTTATGCATCAATTAACATGCAAACTACAATCCTACTCCAAACGTTGGATTACCACAAAAATGCTGACTCATAGTCCTAGTACATTAATAATAAAAAATAAATAATAATGATTAAAATGGATATCGTTTATTAATGATATGAAGTTTACCATACATTATAAACCATTTTTAAAACTAATGAGGCATTTTTTTTATATGTTTATATTCGTTGATGCTTTTAGTAAATTAGCTATTGTTCAAAATTTGTGAATATTCTAACTAAAAACCTTTTTGTTTGACAAGATAAAAAGTAAATTTGTAAAATTGCGAATGGTATTATACACCATAAATAGAAAAACTTATATTTTTTTCGGATATTAATGAGGATCGACTAAATAGTATATAATAAACTTTTTGTTATCTTCGACTATTTCTCACGCTTTAAATTCTTGCTTTTTTATGAACGAAGAATTCAAAATTCCATAAATGGAAAGTATAATTGTGTTGAACCCCATAATATGAAATACACATGTCTGCAGCCAGCTTATGGCACATATCATCTATAAATTACGAGTTCGGAGAGATAACCATAAACGAGTATACGCAAATGGTATAAGTTATTTAATCTCAGGAGAATTGCAATGAAAATCTTCAAAAAATTTTTATAAACGTAGTCAACGAAAAGTGCAGAAAGGCACTTGCCATCTTTAGGCGATCAAAGTTTTCGACTTCGAATACAATTGCAATTTATGGATTACTGTGGTATGTCATTTATTATTTATTTACATTACACCTGATATCTTAATTGACGTATTCTTTTCTTCATTTGCGACATAATATGCAGGGATTTCTGTCATATTCCCATTTATTATTATTAATAAACTGGGTATAATCTTAGAGGCTAGTTAATAATTCGTGTAAATATTTAGTAACTCATTATATTGATTAATAATCTTAGGAGGAAAATTCTGCCTTAATGAAGTAGACAACGCCAATCTACTACGGCTATACATATTTAATTCTTTAACGTTAATATTATGTCTCGTAAATTTTGCGAGATATTAAATTGTAAGATTGTATCGCTAATGTGATTAAAATCTTTGTTTATACTAATAACATTTTAAAACAAACTTTGTTTTTGAAACTATTCCATTATGATTGCCTACTACGCCGCAACAATGACTTTATTTTCCCTAGAAGTGATTTCATTGAACAATCCAGTTGCAAATTGAATTTTTTTCACTGGCTGATCATACGTTAAATTTGTTTTTTTGTAATTGTATAAAGAAATAAAAAGAAAAATTAATCATGCTACAGTCCCCGCCGAAAGTAATGGCGGTGGGGATATTAAATAATATTTTGGTCACAGTTTCTCCGGTGTTCCGATTT